CTGAATACTGTCCAAATTACGATCACTTACAGAATAAGCCGAAAAATTAAGGACCAATGTTGAAATCGAGTTTTGTCGATATATCCATAATTGTGCTCGCGCTTGGTTCATTTGATCGTTCTGGACGCATTTTGATGAACTAATTCTCGTGTGGCTCTATGTAACATGTCGTGAAATTTGATTCAGCAACGAAAAGACTTGTTTCAAATAAATAATGTGAAGAAACACTGATCTGGAGAACAGCTGTTATTGAAGCCTCGCCAGTGATTTGAAAAGCGCTGCTTGATGAGTGTTACTGAGAATTTCGCAAAAATTTCATTTCTTCTTCTCATTTTACTTCCTTGTGATTTTGTTTTGTCTTTTTTTTACATTCACACAAATTTTAGCATAGCTGAAAGCAGTCAAACATATTGGGAGAAATAATCTGAGAAATACAGACAGTCGCTCGTTCATCAAAATCAGAGGCATAGTTTCTTGCATTGTTTTACTCTTCTTATATCTTGGCGGCTTCGAGCAGCGAGCATTCGAAAAGCTCTGCTGCCAGCAACTTTTTACTCACTAGTATTTTCATGTATTCACATTCGTGAAATTAGAAGTGGACGCTGTTGCTGACGTCGACGAAAAGTCGGTACAATTAAATAAGTATCCGTTGCTTGTAGTAGCAGCACTAGGTACCTTAAGATGAATGCATGTGGGTGACAAAATGCAAACATATAAGATTCATCATTTGAAAGTGGAACAAGGAAATGGGTGTGTAGTGGATAGCACGTAATTATTCGAATTCTCCGAAGATACTGAAAACTGGGAGTCCGACTTCCTCTCGATTCATGTTGTTTGCAGAAGCTACACCGCTTGCAGCAAAAGTCAACTGGACTCAACAGCTAATTCAAAATTCGATCTTAGCTCACTACGGAAGACAACTTTGTTCTGGAACTTAAAAAAAAACATGTGAACTAAGGCAGTTCTTAACTCATTAGCCCAACAATCCAGGTATTTCACTAGGAATTTCTTTTGCATGATTTGGAGCTACGGAAATTGTTCATCCAGTAGAAACCTAGGTAGCGGATCCGAGATTCTTCACAACTACGAAAGAACAAAGAGATCTAGGACTTGACGCGTCACTTTCTCTCCAGGCATATCAGCTGGTTCTGGGATTTTATGCTGATCTAATATTGTAGAGTTTGCTGTGAAACTGTCAAAAGAAAATGAAAGAAAAGCTTTTATTTAGCATGAAGTAGTAGTGCACGAGAAAAGTAACTCGGAGGCGGGTATTTTGCAAAAAAAAAATGACTTATTCCTTGGGCTTATTTTTGCACACATAGCAAAACCCACAAGCATAGGGATTTTATAAGGAAGTACGCAGAAAATGGCACAAAATTTGAAAGTGACTGGCAATTGTTAATTCATAATTGCGGTATATTGTAACTGAAATCCTGCTTGATGATATCCGGATACGGTTTACCTTCTCTCTGCATCTGCAAATCATGAAAAATAGAACAAATAAAGCTGATGATAATAACAATAATGACGATAGTGGTGGTGGCAGGGGCCGTACCAGAACTCCAGATTTCGGATCCAGGATCCCAGGATTCAGCCGGAGAATGGATTCGGTTTGCCTTCTTTTTCCAACTGAAAAACAGATGGTTAGCTCAAACTGTGATTCACTTTACTCACACAGTGACGGATTCAGGAGGAATGTTGAACTTCAGTCGAAACACTTTCAATCCCTTTTTTCCTCCCAACTCCCTATACTCCAAAATGAGGAAAATACGATAACGACTGGAAAGGTTTTTGAATTTCTGAAGGTTTGACTTGAAAAGTTTTGGTGAGTTATAAGTCGGTTCGTTTTTTTTTTTTTTTTCATCTTCTGCATGTTTTTTTCAGGGAGGAAAATCCTGGATCTGTCACGAATGTTGTTAGTATTTCACAGGTGATCAACGCACTGAAACAATCAAAATATTGCATCTTTTCAATGTTATTCACGCAAAAAAAGCAGACATAAACTATTCTAATTAAATCAAAAGCAGATAACTTGGTGAATTCCCTTAAAAAAAACAATTTTGCGATTGCGCAACTTCTGAAAATTCACTAAAAACATAATTTTCCTTTTTCATAAATAGAGCGTTAATGGTAGCTTTTGGTATTTTTGAGAGCCCAGGGATCAAAAATTCAGTGCAGATAGATGCTACTGCTAGAAAAATCTCAAAAATCAGGAAAAATAGGTAAAATACTGAGAAGTGGATGAAGGCTGACAAGCTACGCTATGATGAGCAAGTGAAGGTGCAAAACTGCAGCATGCTTTTAATATGGTAAATTCGTGCTGAATAGCTAAATGTGCTTGACGTGATTGGATGGATCAAGTAGTAAGTTTAGCCATTGCCGAGACTTTAGATCTAATGTTTTTCTATAACAAGAAAAAATGTATGAAGTTAAAATCGGCAGGCTGAAACAAATTCTTGCTTTTTTCTTACGGCGCCTTTGAAAGAAAAGAGCGGGAACAGAATCTGTGCAAAAACCAAGTTTTGTGAAGATGAGTTAAAGACTATTTCAGAATCACTTAAGTCACTTTGCCAGGGCTCCAAGCTAGGTAGCCTACCCGAAAATAATGACTACAACCAAGTGCACTGGCCATTTGTAGTAATTATAAACAAATAGTGTCACATGAATGGACGAACCAAATTACCAACACTTCTTTATAAACCCTGTAGTGAAGAAATGGAATTGAGGAAGTAACTAGTTCTTTTTGTGTCCACTCAGCGCCAAACTTTTCGTTGTAGAAAGTAAGGAGCAT